CCTGGCTACTGATTACTTACGACTATACCGCGCGGACTACCAGACTTTCGTCGATACAAAAGCTTAACTTCATCCACCAATCACAATAGATCGGTAAGTCCACATTTGATGTGAAAATTTTTTAAGCAATCGTACATTTTTCTCTGCTGACTGATAACTGAATAATATTATTCTAACTTTATTACCTGCCTAGTCTCTTTCTTACGTTAGACATTGGAATAAGGTTCTATGACTGTTTGCATTTCAAAGCAAGACTAACAGAGAGTGGCGCATTATTGAATGCAAGATTGAAAGGTTGCAGGTTTGCACACGCCTAAGACTTTTGCCAAAGCTTGTAGGAATATGCATTTCTGGTATAAGGGATTGGAATTCAGACACACTGAGGTATACTAATGCCTGCGGACAATGAATAAAAGTGGGCCCTCAGAAGAATTAATTAAACGATCAGGTCTCGTGAAAAAATTCCGCTTCTTAAAAAACATTTCAAGGCCCTGCGGGTTGTTTTGACATACTAAGTTAGCATACCATATAAGCTAACCTTAACAATAATTTGGAAAGTAGTATGGTGAAGGCAACGTGTCAGAACTCCACGAACTCAATTACCTGTGAAGAAACAAGATGTTTTAGCACACATATCTTCATTTCCATATATTTTGTGTTCAAAGATTTGGCAGCAGCCATCAATTCTTGTTTTTGGGGAACGAATACGATATTCGAACTTATAGTTCTGCACTGCATCATTTTCGAGAGGAAAATGATATTCAACGTCTAGAACGGAGAGCGTTAAGCTAAAAAGGGCACTGTGCGAAAAATTAGAAGCATGGAACAGTGATATACAAAACATCTATGGCGGCTGTGAAGTTCTATTACTAGCAAGCAATTTATTTTATTTTATTTTATTTATTTAAAAAACGAGGATAGTGGAGTGTCTAGGTTGACGTTATCAGTCTCTGTTACCCTAAGACCAGGTGCCGGCATTCCAATACTCCCATCTCGTTTGGTTGTTTCATGGAATATTTAATCAAAGTCTGGTTGTGTGCACTAGTATACTCTGTCTTATCATTGAAATGGATATTTTCTTTTATCCGGGTAACTCAGAGGTTCCTAGAATTCCTGCTTGACATTCAATATTTTGAGTACAGCCGGCAGGACTTGGAATAATGGTTAAAATAACAGCGTTCGGCCCATATGCTCCGTAACGAAAGGAAGCAGGTTCAAATCAGACACACACGTAGTCTGACCTTGCGTCACAGAAGGATGTATAGTTTTCCATAGTAGAGTAAAAGGGAGTTTTACGAAGCAGTTTACACAAAGGAGATGCAATCGTTAGAAGAATAGTGTTATTCACCTGAACATTCAGCTTCACATTTGAATCCATAATCGGAGTTAGTGGACATACGGTGGTTGCCGTATTTAGAAGGTGTAGCTGTCATGCTGCTGCATACGTACAACAACCTGCGGCTCCCATGTATATCTTATACTACTGAAATCTGAGCTGCCTACTGGCAAGGTTACTTTTTCTTCGTCTCAACATTTCTGATTCAAGATTAAGTCAGCACGGTCAGTTTGTTAATAAAAATTCTTGCAGTGACTTGGAGGAATAACTCTCCTGCCAAACGAGGTCAAGGTATCGTTTAATGTTATGCCGCACTTCGTTTCCATTCCTTAGGATCTGGTGGTCGAGACAATCAAACAACTTTGTGAGGCATAAACGCTGAAACGTATAACCGCATTGGATACAACTAATTCGTTCAAATCCTGATGTTCTGAATATAAACATCACATTCGATGGGGAAACAACATCGGTTCGTCGATTTCGGTGTTCGTAATCGAGTCCCTTTTGTCGCGGTTGGGATCGCTGGCACGAAATTCTAGGATATTGTGAAGGAAGAGGGAAAACAACCACCTGTCCCTTCTTTATATCCTACTCTATAATGAAGAATGCTCTCGTATAACAACTGAAGCGTTTAGAATAGCTACAACTACGACTCAGGTAGTGTGTTTCAACAACAAATACTTAATCAGCCACAAATTCCCCTACTTAAATGCGCTATTTTGGTGGGCTGTTTGGACAGAGACACAAAACAACAAACCAGATTGCTAACTTGCGATAATATTGATGAATGTCGACAGAGCATGGCAACGCGCGCAAAGTAATCAGCTGGTGTATGTTCAAAAAGACTAGAGACCAAATCGAATTTCCCCCAAATTTTGGCAAGCACTCCCCATACATCGTAAACTTCTCGAAACCTGTCAATCACTTTTTTCACACCACTTAGAATTAGATTTACAAACACGCCGGAGGCACCCATTAGCCGCTAAGTAATGGGACCAAACAAGACACTGCCGTGGTATGAGGCGAATGGAGTCGTTTACCAGAACTGGGTCAGCCGGGGCAAGAGCCAATTAAACAAAACCAAAAAACTACTCCGGATGAGGATAGCCGGACACGCATCGGCATTGAGAACGACTGCAACCAGATCACGCTGGTTCCAAATTTCACTAAGTCGAGGCGAAAAATTCGTGCGATAGTTGGTACCCGCGTGAGCTTTTGGTCACTTGAGTCATAGTGCTCCAGTCCCCAATCTAGTAAAATGCATGCCAGATTCTTC